GTAGGACATTTTTACATGGGGAAGACTTAATTTGTGGGAGCCAATTTTTAAATTGGCTTATACATAAAATTATATCTTCTTTCTGTGATTAATAAATATCTGGTGCCAAGGAACAGAACTCTTTACAAATAAATTCTGTGAACCAAACATGATGAAGGGGGCTTATTAATAAAGAAAAAAGATAATCTCAGAGTACTCTAGAAGTTCTGAATGTCTTAGTGGTGGCTCAGAAAGGAGGAGAAAGGTGAGTAAAAATCGATTATTTAAGCCCTGGTCAGGTGGCTCAGTTTAAATACACTAAAAGATCTCAAGTTCAATTTCTGGTTAAGGTACATACTTAGGTTGTGGATTTTATCCTCCATCAGGGATTATGTAGGAGACAACTGATGGATGTTTCTCTTTCACACTGATATTTCTCTCTCTCATTAATAAACATATCCTGGCATATAATATCTACTCAGTAAATGGTTACGGTAAGTCTTGGATATGTGATGTTTAACTGATTTGTCTAACAAGACATAGAAGTGATCAAATATTCCTTATGACCCAGTCAGGATTGACCTTGATTCATAAATTAGAATCAACCTCTGTTCTGGAGAAGGCTCACTGCCCTTTTTTTGTGGGAGGGAGGTGCAGGTATCCTACAGAACATATTCTGTTGAATAAGAAGATTTTGCGTTACTCTGTTTTCCTCAGATACTTAATAGTACATGTACTTGCCTCTGTGGATCCCACACTTCCTAAGCATTGATCACACATATTTACTGGGAATATACCAAACAAGGCAAGAATTTTCCCAGATCCTGGGCTTTGCTAGCTCTGTCTTTTCAAGGCTGTATTTCCCCTCACACAGCCAGTCTCTACCCTTCCTGCTCTTTACCTCACAAAATCCTGCCAGCCTCACACAAATGTCTCTTTTTGCAAAAACTATTTCTAGTGGATCTAAATCTAAACTACTTACTTTTCAAATGATTCAAAACCGTATAATAATAGTGAATTGGAATGCCAGGTGAAGATAACTGAACAGCTTATTTTGGTAATGAAAGAAGCAAACATTTACAAGTTTATAGACATATGTGCCTAGAATAAAAGTTCTAGGGGTAATTATGTCCCCTGGGGAAAAGTTGACAATCTTAAGTCATTCTGCTTCCCATTCTCAAAGAGAGGGAAGGTGCTACTGACATCTAGTGGATGGAGGCCAGAGAAGCTGCTGAACATCCTGTAAGTCACATGGAGAGGGGAACTCAAGAGTTGAAGATTTTAGCTTCCATCCTAGTTGACAGGCTTAGGTTATTAATGCACATGGAGGGCTGTTATTCCAGGGACTGGAATATGTGACCTATGTGACTCCAGGGGGTCGGAAGGCAAGTCAACCTCTGTGCCCCAGGGGGTCTGCAAGAGATGGAGATGGTATCCAAGCCTTTGTGTTCCAGGGAGGGAATCTCTGTGATGCAGATCAAGAATTGTTGTTCAGCAGATAAATATTAAGAAAATAGTCACAGAACTGCAACTCTTATCTGATTAACCATTTTTTTTCCAAACACCTTACCTACCCTTTCTTCTCCTTATAAAAAGGTTGGCTTGAGATGAGATGTTAAGACAGTTTTTGAGGGTACACAAAGAACCATCTTTTCAGATCACCAGCCTCTGAATAAAGCGCCTGTAAAGATTCAGTCTTCATCTCCAGTTATTGGTTCGGGTAGCGACAAACTGCATGAAAGCCCACTTTTCCAGTTTCAACATTACAGTCTCCCCACAACAAAAAAGGATCCTGTCAAAATGTCAGAGGTGCTGAGGTTGAGAAACCCTGGTCTGGAGCAGGATATTGAGACCTCATTTTGCTTTCTCACTGATAACGGACCGAGCCTACAGATGTGCTGTGGGAACTGCGTTGCTCCTTCTTATAGTAGCTGATCCCAGGTTGTGTGAGAACCCCTGTGTCCTCAGGGGAAGTGTAGGCACCACAGCAGAACAAAGTCTCTGCTGCTGAACACTTTCTATTTTATTTTCCTGAGCCTATAGAGAAGCATCCACGGACATAAACATATTATGGGAGAGGGCTAATCTTTGCCAAAGCAATTTATGGCTGTCATTTTAAAACTTTAAAAAAAAACCTGATACCATTTTTTTGTGACATTATAATAAAACTGGATGCAATCGTTATAACAATAACTATTTCTGAGTATCCACCATTTGTCAGGGAGTTTTTGGATTTAATCTTCATAAGAACCCTGTGAAGTAGGCACTATTATCTGCATTTTATAATACTCTGTTTATTCTCATTTTAAACTTACTGTTTTTCCTTTTGTCCCAGAATAAACATGTGGTTATCTGTTCTTAAGGGAAAAGATTTATTTATATGTCAATCTTTGGGCTTTGTGCAGTAATAATAGTACTAATAATAGAACGATGGTGATGGTGATAATGATGATAAGGAGGATGATGCTAACAACGAGCCTCCCTCAGCGCCTTCCGCAGCTTGGAGTGCATTGAATCTCTTTGCAGTATAATTTCTTATTCTAAGTGTTTCACCGCTAACAACTTAATCTTCCCATAATGCTATGGAAAAAATATTTAAAGATTAGAATGATAATTTATAAAACCATGCAGAAACGTCCCATGTCCCCCAATTGCTGACACATTGGGCTAAGTGAGCAGCAAGCAGGAGGTCCGGAGCCTCTAGTCGGAATCACTCTGTCATAGGAGACAGGCTTTATCAGTGTTTATCAGTGTTGATTAAATAAATCATTTATGATTGTTCTGCTTGGAGAACATTCAAGAAAAGTTGTTTGGAGCATTCAGTTATACCTGAGGGCGACTGGCTGGCTGCCCAGAAAAGCCTCCCCTTTAAGCCTTAACTTAAACCTTTAACCGCAGTACAGAATTCTTATGAGGCTAAGGCTGGCTAATTGTAAACATCAAGGGTCTCTAATTCTCTGAGATAGTTGCAGATAAACCAAGCTTGTTATAATTAACAAAAATAGCAATACAATTAGCTTATAGTGAAAAATAAAATAGGAAAGGATTCAATGCATAATCTCTTCCTGAAGGCACTGAGTAGAAAAGGCCAGACTTCACATTTGGAAGATTTCTTGGTGAGCAGAAAATTAAATTATGAGCGTTAATAATAGGAATTCAATTTTTAATGTTATCATTTTAAATTAGCCTCAGAGATGTATCATCATTGTAGGTTATGAGAAAATCTCATGGCCCGGAATCCACTCTGTGTGTAAAGTAATCTGTAAGGTAACTCCATTCTGATACATTAGTATTAAAGTTAAATCTTATCACTGAAGCCTCTGTCGTTGTACAGATTTTCAAGTTAAGATGAGAGAGAATGGTCCAGCCCACTGTGTGAGGTAACTCTGAGGGACCGTCAGAACTAATAGGGGGAGACCTTTATTAATAGAGCATCAGGGTTCAAAGTCACTTCCTGTGTTCGCTCACTCTGTGACACGTGCTCCTTAGAGAACTCCCCAGGACACTTTCTCTTCATGTGACTTGATATCAGAGTTTGTTTCTTGGGAATCCAATTTTAAGATAGTGTGGCTTTGTTTACTTCCTTGTGTGGAATGAGTAAGAGAAAAAAAATTAAATAAACTATATGTGGAGGGCATTTGGAGAGACTTAAAACACACGGTGTCCTATAATTTGCAGGAGAGACTTTGGAATACCCCAGACCACTGGACTCTTAAAATCGTCTCTAATGTAGCAGGCTATTGAATTTTCAGAGTGCTTATCTTGCAGCTTCTAAAGTGCTTGTTCATTACAAGTCTTCTTATGAGTCCATGTCTACTTGCTTCTCTATTCTGATTAACATAATATTATCAAAACTGCAAACTGATGGGAATTCCTGGGGAATATTTAAGAGGGTCAGGTCCCTTGAAAATACATCATGACTGACAGAGGAAGAGGGATTTAATTTTGCTCTGGGTCTGATCTGTGAATATATACTATTTTGGCCCTCCTTCATGATGCAGATGATAAAGAACACCTTCACCTAGCAGTTGCTACAGATATATTCCTGAGGCCTTGTTAATTGCTCTAATAAGGATACCACATCTAGCACAGCGGCTGCAATTGAGGCTACTATATGCTTTTGACTACTTTGCAGTAATACGTTATAATCCTTCAGAATCCTGATTTTTATAAGTGCCAGGTAGATCCTTTTATAAATGATAAATTAAATCAGGAATAAGGAATAAGAGTCACTCCCCCTGCATATTTGAGACATTTAAAGGTGCCAGTCATTTCTGCCTTAGAATGAGATTTTTTTTCAATGTATATTTACCCTGTTAGCTGGGTGGATACAGATGTTTTGCTTGACCTCTCCTGTATGATAGCTGTTACCCACAGGGCAAGGGACACAGAGGGGGAGTTTGGGCAATGACTGTGTATCCTTATCCCAACCATATCTACTGGCGAAATAACTTTTGACTGCGTTCATGGACTCACTAGAAGCAGATACTCAGGACATGGCTGGATTCTATTTGTCATTTGTTCTAATAGGCTTCTACTCTGAGGGGTGCCATAATGCCACTTGATGACACTTTGAGTCCATGGGTGTCGATGCTGATTTAGCCTCTGTTGAAATATCTGTATTCTCACTTCTCTAGCATATGTTTGGCCAAATGAATGTCCATAGGTCTCTTTTGTAGGAGGATGGTGAGTCATAACTATATGCACTTGTTGTGGTAGTACAGGTTCCTTCCTCTTGGACACTTGGTCATTTAATTAGTCAGTGCTATACCAGGTCTTAAACGAGCTCAAACACAGAATCTGAGAAAGGATAATTGATTTTTATTGCATTGGCTTTTCCCCAGCCTCAGATCTTCCATAATTTACTATTTTGAGTATAAATTGGGAAATAGTATTGATGGCTCTCTCTATGATGCCTTGATTTTAGTAACCATCTTCATGTCTCTTCACATGCCTGTCCCCACTGGCTGCTACTATGCCATCTCTGTTCTTATTATGATTGTCCTGTCTCCCTCTCACACTTTCGGGGAGTCAGCATCCGGAGGCAGTAGTACTCTTTTACAACTGCAGAGCACAGAAGGCATTCGCTATTGAGGTTCTCAAAATTGCTGGTGCCCCTTTCATCAGGATATTCTTTGTCACCCTCATAAAGAGTGACGTTCAGTTCCTCCTAAAGAACAGAGTTTGGTAGTGGCTCTTCTGATCTTCATAGTATATGCACCATAGCTTGTCATTTCTCTGAACCATTTTATTTCTATCTGCGCCATTTCATGGTAATTCTTGCATTCTTTGTATTGGAAAGACCATTGCCTTTTCCAAGTTTTTAGGAATCAAATTAACTATTTATTAGCATTATCTCCTAGGGACATGCAAGGTGTTAAATTCTATGATAAGAGAGTAATTCTATGTCAATAATTACCCAAATTTATAATCCATTCTCTGTATTCTAGCTACCAAGATTTTTTTCACATATACTCTCCCAGCTTCTACCAGTATGCATTGGCTGGGTCGTATAGGTACTTCAATTTACAATTTCTTTCTTAGCTTAATAGGCCCAGTACTTCCTTGGCTTAGCTACACTGTGACTTGACTTTAGCTGTGCTGATAGCTGTGCAGTGTTTAAGATGGTTTTTAATCTAGAGAGGAATGCCACCTGTCTTGCAAGGCAGAAATAAGCTTCTGCAGTATCATTAAGCAAGAGAATATGCTCATCTTATTAGGAAAAAAAAAAAAAAAAAGAAGTCTATGTCTACTGGCCTGGAAGGTTTAGGAAATCTGAATTTTCACGTTATTGAGCACATCAGTATTTATGGTCACATCTCAAGTCTTTAAATATACTTCCTACTCAACTGGGTCCATAATCTTGACAAAACCAATATTCGAGGTTCTGGAATTTAACATTGTATGAAGTCTAATAAAGTCTAGACACAGATTTCTGTTACTTACAGATACAGAGATGAATATCAGTTTATATACCACCAGTGGAGCCATTAAAATAGTCACATTTTGCCTCATTTTTTTTTTTTTTTTGGAAGAAAATGAAACTGGAAATGCAAGCATTCACCCAGTAAGCAGACAGGGATTGAATCTTTGTGGGTGCTTTATGTAGATGGTCAGTAATCTGAGAAGACTAGGGATTTGTACCCTAACAAACTGTCTTAAATTCCATTTTAAACTGACCCTTTTTATAAAAGGGGAAGAAAAGTGTAGGTAAAGGGTTTGGTATTCAGGGGAAAAGCTAATCAGATAAAAGCTGCAGCATTCTTTCATCTGTGTCCTGGGGTGTGGCCTTTATCTGTGCTCTGGGTGGTGGACATCTCACCCTGGAGCATAATGACTCAGATACCATCTTGATTACTTGCAGTCCTCCTGAGGCACAAAGGTGGAATTGCTTTTGGTCTCCTGGAGTCAAGGTAGGTCATACCTTCAGTTCTTGAAACAATAAATTTTTACATACATTGATTGCTAAGATTATCAGTTATTACCTGAAATTAAAGTGTTTTCCAACTCTTGCATCCCCCATCAAAGGGGGGCCACATATTAACCTGACAAGCTCAAGGAAGGCTTGCAAGGCAAGCTTACAAACTCAGAGACCTAAAGTAACCACAAAAGATGGCTTAAAATAAAAGCTTACTAACTAAAAGCAGTTCATGGGGGATAGTCATGTCCACAGCCAGTACTTTTCCCTAACAAAGGTCAATTTTTACCTTAACTGAGCCTGTCTATTGTCTTTTTGTATCTATGGTAACACCCCTTTGGAATGTCAAGGTAACTTCCCTTTTTTCCCAATCCCCTTGGCCACAAACTGAGACCACAGATCCCCTCATTGTTATTGTTAATTGTTGATTGTTAACTGTCCTTTACCCACCTATGTAAAAGGAGTATGTGCTTATCATTTTACCTTTTATCCAAGCCCATAGGTCTCCCCACTTTGCTTTCTCCTGCCTCCCTAATCTATCACCAATGGATTTCATGTAACTCCCTTACAGCTCCTCCTTTTATTCTTACGTATAAAATCTTTCCTAAGGTGCTAAAGTGCTGTTCTTCGGAGCATTTCTCAATCTTTTGAGATGTTGCTTCCCAGCAATTGTCATTAGTGTGGCTCAAATAAACTCACCAACAATTCTCAAATAATTACCCCCACTGATCAAAGTCTTTGTCTATTGTACTGATGGGTACTAGGTGAGTCATGTGATTTTACAGAATTTAAATTAAAATGTACCTCTTCCCTAAACTATCAAATATCTGAGCTATTACACCCACCAGTATATTGCTTTTCACCTACACTCCATACTAGACACTACTTGGGAAAGTTTTTACAATCCCACTGATACAACATTCAGGGGTTTCCCATACACAACTGTTACTAATGATAGAAATCTCATTGCCATCTGACCAATTTTGATGGAGTTCTAAGGTCCCATTTTAAAGTCTACATCCTAAAATCACTTCTCAACATTTTAGGTCAGAGTACCCAAGATAAAAAAACCTTAAAAGATGATGTCTTTACAGGGAAATTAGAGAGTGCTCTCAGAAACAACACCAATGAGGGAGCACAGGAAGCAAGACTGGACTAGGGAGAAGTTGAACCATTATGTAGTTATAACTGAAGCTGAGATAACACTTCAGAGTTGACTAAAATTGAATGGAGAAATCCAGGTCTGTGTACCCCATGCAAAAGCCAGTCATTGGGTGTGTGCAGTCCGCAGTGAGGAGGTATAAACTTAAATGATACAGTCCTGTTGCTGGAGAGTCTCCATGGTGGGGGGAGAAGATAAGTATTTGAAAGTGTGCTTACAAAAACAAAACAAAAAAATTGCATTGCAGAAGAAACAACAGTAGTAATAAAAGTAAAGAGATACTTCAGCTATGAGTTATTCTGAGGCAGGAGATAGTCAGGAAGGAGGAAACTCCAGAGGTGCCCCAGGAGATAAAGAACATGGATAAAGGGCTGAGACCCTGTCCTAAGTCTGGTAGTTTCTGCATCTGGAGAAGCATTGAATCCTAGTGAATCAGGACTGCCCCTGTGCAGAAGATGCTACCTGACCCCTGGTTCATTATAATGAATTAGCATTGTGGGACCCTCCTCCTAGTAGCCAATCAAGGACAGGAAGGCCCACCCTAAGGAATAAAAGTCCTCTAGCCCCTGAGTTCCGCCCTTTTTCTTGCCCTGCTCCAGCTGCTCCAGCTGCCCCTGCTGCTGCGCTGCTGCTGCTGCTGTCAGGCTCTTCTCCTTTCTTCTCTGATCCACTCTGCTCAGAGTTGGCCGGTTCCCAAGTTCTGTGTGGCTTAATAAATCTGCTTCTCGCTTTCTGCTATAAACTCTGTGTGTTCGGTTCCATTTTTTGTCTGCGATCACCAAGAACCTGGTTACCTGTGCCCACCTGTGACAGTTCCACCAAGAGAAGGGCCACTGCTTTGATGCTGGTTGGAGCACATGCTGGGTTACAGGCTCAGTCCAGGTTGGAGGTACATTAGGGGTGGAGGAGGGACTGGGGGGTGCGGCTGATGGAGGTTTCTCTCTGGCAGCGATGTTTCTCTCCCTCTGTTTTTTCCTCCCTTCCCTTCTCTCTAAAAAAAGTAAATAAATCAAATTTATTTTTTAAACTAAAGATATACTGGAAATATAAGTTATGGTACCCTCAAAACTATACATATAAATTAATTTGAATATACATATAATTTGGGTATATTTGACATTATTAAAGAGATAATCGAAGACAGGCACATTATAATTAAAGAATAACACATTATAAACAATCAAAATTTAAAAAGATATAAGCTATCTAGATGTGGAAAAATATAGTTATTGGATTTAAAAACTCAACTGGTAGAATAAACAGCTGAGTAGCAAATTGGTGGCTTAGAAATACACTTAAAGAAATTGTCTCCAATTCAGTACGAGGAACAAGAAATCGAGATGTCTTTAGTCCATAAAATAAAATTGCATCTTCTCTCAGATATTGTTTTGAAAAGCTAGAACACCAAAGGCAAAAAGAAAATGTTAAAAACAATCAGAGAGAAAAGCTATACAACAGCAATGACAGACTGATAACTGATCTCTCGTCATCCACAGCAGAGCCCGCAGAAAAGCAGAGCCTGGTCATGAGACTTCTGAGGTGATATGAGACACTGAAAATTATATGCTCAGCTAAAATGATGAAAGTGTGATAGAAAAGTTTAAAACATTTTCAAAAACAAAGAGTAAAGCCTTTACTACTGATGGGGCACTGCAGGACAGGAACCCCAGAAAAAGGAAATTGAAGTCAGGAGTATGAACAGCAATGTTGAATAAGACATAACGGTAAACATCTAGTTACACATAAATATTGACTATGTAATAGTGACAAATCAGGAATTTCTTAAAACTGGAACTTAGGAATGGAAAACAGTATAAGATTATATAATTTTAAGGTATTTGTTTTTTAGGGAGGATAATAAAATATTAATTTTGTTCATTTGTCTTGAATCTAATGTACATGTTTAAAAATTTAAAGATTATCACTTAGGAATTACATAGAGAATATAAATGCCCGAAGCAGTAAAGAAGCTGACGGAGACACACACACAGACACACACACACTCAATACCATGGAAAAAAGCAAGTGAAATTGAGGCAAAGGAAAACATGGTAAAATAATTACAAATTATATAGTCAAGATTATATCAAACGGATCAGGAATATAGCAGTAGCAGTAAAACAAAACAAAACAAAAAAACCCCCAAAAAACGACTTGCTGTTTTTATACAGAAATTTCGGGTTACATTTTTTTAATAACTAAAACAAAAGAATTCAGAAATGCAGCTAAAATATGACTGAGAAAGACTGAAGTAATCTTTCAAGATTAATGATTCAAAAAGGGTAGTCTAGGCTAATGAAAAAAAGAAAGTTGTTACAAGAATGTGATCTAGCTATGAGTATAAAAACTGTTACTTAATGGTAGATTAAGCATTTTATATACCTAATCCATGTCTGTCTGTGTGTGTGTGTATAACTGTGATTGAGTTGAGTGTATTATGTGTATCCTAATATGCATGATGAATATGGGAGGATAAAAACTAACCAGAAGCTTGAGCCTTTATTAAATACTACAATGTGAGAGCAGAGATAGAAAATATCCTGAAGGGAGGAAATGGAATAGGTTGAGGAATGCCATTAAAAAGTCAAACTTTTCCTAAACTCTTTCACTACTCACACCTTCAGAAGTTATGAAGACACATAGTCTTCATTTGCTCCAGTTTAGGGCATAAGGGAAGCAGCAAGAATTGACTGCCCTCTAAACCTATTAGCAAGACAATATGTGTTTAGCAAAAGGAGAAATAGTTGGAGACTAATACCCTGCAAAATTTATAATAGAAAAAAATAATACTTTGATATATTTCCTATTGAGATATTTTTCATCAAAATTAAAATAAGAAAAATAAGTTCAATTTTAAATATTATCTGATTTATAATATTTTATACTGAGTTCTTCTAAAAACAAAAATGAAGTGTTTTTCTATAATGGTTGGATTGAATATAGATATTATGCAAAATTTGACATTTATTTTTTTTCTAGAATTGTGTAATATTTTTTTCTTTTTATCTTTACAATGAAATAGAATATTTTTATTTTACCTGCAGCATCTTTGGTCTTTTTCAGATATCTCTGTGTGAGATTTATATGCATGTGTATGATTGTATATTTATAACCTCATTACAACTTGCTAATTTTGCAGCCAGGAGTGTAAATAATAGAATTCATAGCAATCTGAAGATTGTAATTTGCCCTTGATTGAAAGAGTTTGACTTATCTAGAATCCATATATATATTTCATATAATTCTATATTAAAAATTTTAAATAAGTAATTTGACTTCTATTTAAACAGATTCAAAATTGTGAATAAAGCTTATTGCTGTTTATATCTCATTAAAATCATTTAAAATTTATTGCATATTAAGTAAATACACTTAATACCTATAAAATGTTTTAATTTTACAGGTGGTTCTAACTCCACTTGTTATTTATTTGATCACACATACCTAAGTTTTTATTTTGCTACTTTTTGTCATAAATATGAATTATCTAATTTTAAAAATAAAGGGAGCAGGCTTAGCTACATATGTAACTCTAATAGCCAACCTTCAAGATGGCTCCAGGATCTTTACCTCCTGGTTTCCATATTGTAGTGTAATGTTTCCCTCTTCCATTATGGTTGATCTATGTGATCAACAGCATATGCTTAAAATATTGTATATATGTGATATATAATTTTATGACTATATCTTACATTTGAACTTAGGTTATAAAAGATTTTGGTTTCCATCTTGGGATCCTTCCCTCCCCCTTCCCCATTCTTCCCCCTTTTCCCCTTCCTCCATCTTTCTTTCCCTTCCTGGAAGAAGCACAGTTTCCTTGTTACAGGAAGACTTACAGAGAGGCTGAGAGGAAGGGGCACAGGACTTTCTGATACGTAGGCATGTAGGAACGTGCTGCCTAACAAACAGATAATTGAGTAAGCTTACAAAGAGCTTCTACTGGTTTCCGGACCGGCCTTGGGATGACAGCCGCCCTGGGGCATAGTTTGACTGAAATCCCACGAGAGACCCTGAGGCAGACTTTAGCTAACCCACTTCCACATTCCTGATCCTCGGAAACTGTGAGAATAAAATAATGAACAATAATAATAATAATAATAATAAAAGTGTTTATTGTTTTAAGATCCTAAATTGTGGGGTAATTTATTTTGCAGCAATGAAGGGATAGGCAGTGGGGGTAACTGGAAGAGATTAGCCGAAAAACATACATTCATTTATGCATAGCCCATGGACACGGACCACAATGTGGTGAAGGCCGGGGAGGAGGTGGTTGTGTGGAGAGGGCAGGGGGCGGTGGATGGAGGGCATTTGTAATAGTCTCAAAAAAAAAAAAAGAAAAAGAAAGTTGGAGCACTACTGATATTCCACATAAGAAAAATGGGAATATAGAAGTCAGCTCCTGCTCTAGCAAATACCCTCCAGAGTCAAATTTAAAACAGAGTGGGAATGGCGTCTCCTCTCTCCTTCACCCTGAGGGTTTCCAGTGCAGACAGGTCTTTCATTCTCACAGTAGCTTATCAGGATCCTAGAAGGGTATTTTTACCAACGGATACCATGAAAAGAAGAGATAGTCTTTAGTCATCTGCTTTTCTAATTATATGGAGGACAAAATTCTGTTTTTTTAATAACTATACTTAAATAGGCAAAATGAAAAAGAAGAAAAATGATTTCTTCCTTCCTTGTTCTATTGTATCCTTGGGGAGGGGAGAGCAATGGATCAAAACCCTTGGAATGGAATCATCATGTTACCTCACAAGAACAGAGATCAAGCATTTAGTAAATGGATGTACGTGCACCCACGGTAATGCATATTGCTAATTTTGTTTCCCACCCCTCTTTTATTCAAAGCACAGATAGTGTTCTCTATCCCAGCCAAGAACTCAGGAAGAGAATATTTATCCTCTAGTTTCAGCCTTGCATCCAAGTTCCAGGTGTCGCTGTTGAGATAATTAATTTAGAAAACTATCACTGCCCCATTTGCACCCATAAGCCTTCTCCACTTAAACACACAGATTTGAAATTCATATGATAATTTATAGGTAATTTTCTAAGAAAAAGAAAACAATTAAATCAGAAAATATAAAATAAGCCATGGTACTATTGTCAGAATGAAGTTTTCTAAGAGCGGAAACCTAAAAACTCATTTAAAGCATTCTGATTTTGACTCATTAGTAAAACTAGAGAGAAAAGGAAGATAAAGAGTTCTGCAGACATGATACAAAAACAAAACAGATATTTTGTGGTGAAATCCATGAAGTGGGTGGTATTACTTTTTAGATAGACAAATATAGAACTACATGGCTATAAACTATGCAAAATTAAGAAACGAGAGAGCAGGGTAGTTTAAAACATGTTTTATTGATTTGAGCTATGGAATTTATTATGAATTACTCTTGAAGGTTTGCTATGTATTTTAGAATGCAGAATGATCAAGCCAGGTAATTAGGGAACTAGCCAGAAATAGAAACTGGCTGCATATATTAAACATTATGTCTCTGTATTTTTAGGAAGCTCTCCAAAAAGCTCGTCAATCTTGCAGAACATGGAATCTTGAGCAGTGATTGTGTTAGACTGCCTTGCATGATATTCTTGGTAATAAATAGTTATGGGTTATTGGGCAGCTTGTCAACCACATATCATATATTTGTTCTTCTTCTGGAAAGGAAACTTACTTCTTAATGGAGAAATGAAATCTATGGCAGGGCCTTTTTTTGGAATGAAATAAAACACTGCAGGAGAAGATGTAAGCTTCTTATTTTCCCTTTGAGATGGCAGTCAGTTCCTTCACTGAATCGGTTAAGTTTGCTTCTTTTTAATTGTATAGTGTGTCTTATTTCTTATCTTCTGTACTCTAAATTAAACTGGAAAATTTCCTTTCTTTGTGTAGAGTAAGATTGAATTACTGTGAGCTGCCACAGAGTTGGTGGCTGAAATATGCCGGTATTCATGGGAAAGGAGTGTGAATGGGAACTCTGTGTTTTCCATTTTAGCCTTTGCTGTCTTGTTCACAGCAGCAGGGAGGTGAGGTGAGCAAAGCACAGCTGTTGACATAAGAAACCAGGTACGTGAGAACTGGAAAGGATACACAGTCCCCGTGTTTAACTAGACAGGTTAGAAAAGCAGAGCCATTCATGGCAATGTACTAAAAAATAATGTAGGAACCATTTGAACTGTAAAAAGGCTGAAGGCTCAGGAAAGCCTTTTTTGAAAATAATCTTGAAGGTACTTGAAGAACTATAACAAGAGTGAAATCACAGATTTTAAAATATAAGATAATATTTATATGTGAAAGGGTATTCAATACTCTTACATATTTCTACATTGTAATAGGAACATTATGTTAAACAGGCTACCTTGCTTTTAAGCAAGCTCAGCAATTAAAAATGTAATGACTCAATGTGGGATCGATGGCTCTGCATACCTCATATTGGCTTTCAAGTTATTCTCATATGTTCCTCCTTAAAAATCTTAGTAACTTCAGTACACCTGGGTGATTGCTTTACGGCTCCAGTTTATCGAACTCTCCTCTATCATTACCTTTGCCCTGCGTCTGCCTCTATCATGCCCTTGTCACTCTCAACAATTCAACTCTCCACTGTCCCTTTTCTATGCAGCTCTTTCTCTGATTAACATCTTCTTTGATCCCTGTGACCTTTCTCTACCAGGATGCCATGAACGTGGTCCCATCAGCTTTTGGCTGTCACACAACTCATTGATGTCCTTTCTTCTGTCTTTAATCAGTTCACACCCCATGATCAATCGTAAAATGATCTTACTTACACCCGAACTTCACGGCCTCTCTTATTTTCTGTCACGCTCACTTGACAAAACCACAGCCCTGTTTAAACCCTACTCTCTGCCTACCTCATCCTTGCACCATGCAGCTTACTGTGGCTGCGGGGAAACCTGCCCCCACAGGCACTCTTCCCACTTAAATTCATAATCATAAACCTCATGTTGACTTCTGGTTGTCCTGTAGTCGTTCTATATTCCCCTGTTCCAATTACTGGTCCCTTCTCCTAGATGACTCTGGCATCTGTTCCTGTAACAGTTCCTGTTCTATCCTCAACCATATTATGATTGTTCTTCACAAAATGAGTCAAGAGAGAACTTCCATAGCCTCTTACAAGGACATCTAACCACAAATGCACTTCCATCCTCTGTTTATTTCTTGCTGCAGATTAGCTGTTTACACTCCTATCAAAACTGATACACTTGTAATCTCGATCACACCTACTTAAAGGAGTTGCTCCAGCAATTCCTCTTCATCTCACTTATATTATTATTTTTTACTTCTCTACCAATCATTTCTTTCATTATATAGAGTGCTGTTATTTTTTGGTTCCCTTGATAGTATAATAGTTTGAAAAAATGTTTATATTTAGAGATTCTATTCTTTTTCTTCCAATTGTAGTTTGATGCTTTGCTATTCTGTCTTCTACTCTACTCTCATCTCTTGATTGAAATCACTTTTTCACTGTCACGAATGAACTCTCTGTCACTAAATTCAATGGATAGTACCCAATAGTCGTATTGACATTGTCGATAACCCTTTCCCCTTGACAAACTATCTTCCTAGGCTTCCAGGGCATCCATCGTTGGTGCCATCGTTGTCTGGTTTTCATCTTATTTAGTTGTTGCTATTACTCAGACTTCACAATTTCATAATGTACCTGGCTCAGTTTGGGGACCCATTTCACATCTCTTCATTTCAAAATGAATTGGTCAAATTTTCCCATTGGTTTTACTTTCAAATAAATCCTGACTCTAATGATTTCTTCCCACCTACACTATTACCATCCTGACCTAAACCACTATAGCTTTTTCACTTGGATTATGCAGTAGACTTTAATTTGTCTCTGTGGTTCCATGCCTGTGACTCTCAAAATGCTTCCATGTATTGGCATTGCTCTTTGAAAAACCTATTAAGACCTTACTGTATACTGAAAGTTCCTGCATTATTTACCTCCAATTAATTGTCTGTTTTGCACCTGGGCCCAGACTGATTTCTGTTTTTGTAATTCCTTAATATTGCACAAACTCCCGAGCTGGACCCTTTGTGCTGATTAATTCCTTTGCCTAAACATCCCCCTTAAATATATGTATGGCTTTATTTTGCTTATCCTGTACATCTTTGCTTAACAGCTCTCCTCTCAATGAATTCTAATATGGCTATGCTATTTAAAACTATAATCTTCCCCTTCCAAAATCCACATATATGGCTGTACTATTTTCATTGCATTTATCATAATCTAATGTTAACAAATCATTTATTTATTTATTTTGCTTCTTGCTTAATATTGTGATGCTCACAGAGTTAGGCTCCAGAAAGGCAGTATTTTGTGCCTGTCTTTGTTTGTAGATGTATCTCCAGTTCCTTGAACTGTGTCCACAAATATTGGATATTTAACATGTACTTGTCAGAAAAAAATTGATTTAGTGAATGGTAATAGGAAATAGGATCAGACCTTAACTTCCTTTATTCAATGCTGACTGTGTGAAGACGAAAGTTACTTTAATCTCTCTAAGCACGTAAAATGGAATAATAATATCTACCATATCAGGGAGTTGTCAGATTGACTAAATTTTTTAATCACTGTATAAGCACAGAGTAATAATACCATGAGAGCTCATTTAACACATGATAGCCATTTTTTTAAAAAATATTAAATTTGATAAACTCAAAGTATTTAGAATTTATCAAATAACTTGTAAAAGCAAATTTTTTCCAAACTATATAAAGCCATTCCAGTGCCAACAATCTGGACACTATATTGTATTTAGTTGCTGAAATGCAACTTTCAAAATCTAGGATTGCATATTTACCATCTTACTTTGGGGATTAATGCAGTGGGCACATAGTAGGTATTCAAACTATCCATTGGAATTGAATCAAATTGTCTCCAAAATAAGACTAGTGAATAGATCACTTTTTCAACGTTAATGGTCTTATGTAAAAAAGAAATTATTTTGGTACCTCTTTGCCTCCACTATAAACAAGGAAACCAATCTCTAACTTCACTATTCATTGACTACCAAGGAGATATAAATGATTTCATCACTTCTATCTAATTCCCAGTCAAGACTCAAAAGAATAAGTATCAGTTAGAACTACTTCTAGATTGTTACTGAATGTCTTGGTTGATGCAAATAACAAGGGTGGTTGAAATCAATTGAATTGGAGTGTAAGTACTAAAAGCAGCCATTTCTCCAGTAGAAATTTATCAATAGATTAAAGGGACTGCATGGAATAATTATATTTGTTAGAAACAAGATTTGCCTGTGGCTGCTAATTCTATTCTGCTATCTCTTAGAGGCCATTTGAGGAAAATTTAGGATCAGAGTGTGAAAACATTGTGATGTCAGTAATCAGGATGAAGATAGCTAAAAAGTGACCTGCTTGTCTGAAAGAATTTGTATCATTTTCTGTGTGTGGAGATCATTGCTTTCCTGCTACCTGTACATATTCTTTGAGTTTGATAGGTTTCTAAGTACTTAGTCATTGTTATTGCATCTGAGGTTGACCTGGACAGTCTGGCTTCAATCCTTTATGCTTACATGATTCCTCTTCCTCTTTGACAGCACCTATTCTTATGGATTTCAGTTATTTGGTTTCTGTCTCAGGCTATATATTTTAGATTTATGTCCAGTTACATACATAGACAAGGCTGCCAACACACCATTTCCCTCCTCAAGACCTCTAACAGATTTAGCTCATCCCTTAGATTCTCTTTTATTAATCCCATCCATAAGTTGTAAAATCAGTGAGCATTTGAAGGTCTTTTACAAACAATTATTAACTGACTGACCCTTTAGTTTTTTTCATATAGTTACAGTATTGCCATCCAATATTCAAGCATGAACTCTGGATAATCTATAGTGATTTCTATGAAAAGGATGATCTCTAACTATATAATAACACATTCCACTGTTATAATGGAAAAGGAATTAATATAAAATATAAGTAACTGCTTTTTTTTCATTGTTTTATTACAGAGGAGGATTCATTCACAATATGTCAACTAAATGTTATAAAATCTGTAATTTAATTTAAAATACATATGCCTAAACAGCACAATACAAAAAGTGCATCAATGTAAGCTACACTCAAAAGCCCACTCCACTTGCCTCACTTCCAAGCTGGTTACCTGGTAAAATGTATCTATCTTCAGACATGTCAATAAATATTACTAATTGGCTATAATTCTGATGAAATTTATAATAGTTGATATATGTAAAACTGCTAAAATATTTTATAGAGGTAGCGATTCTAAGATTGAGGAGCAGTACATGTATAATAAAATTTATAATCACATAAATAATCATAGTTTACATTTAAAAATTTGATTCATCCAATTGTAGATTTGATGAATGGAATCTTTTATTCAGTTGTTCAATTGTTTTTCAATTAATCCAATTTAGAATTAGATTAGAAAAATGTATTTTTTTGTCACTAGCTAGATTGAGAAAGCTAGATTCTTTCACTAAAGGATAAGAGCCTTGAATAAATGTTATAGATGTATACAATTAGAAATGTTAAGCTTAGTGTGCCATAATGACAAGAAAATGGAGTATTTGAAAGCCTGGTACATATTGCTCATTTATTTTCCCTAATCATAGGAGTCATTTGAAGGATAAGTCATCTGTTCTTCAGGCAAACGTCAGAAAATTGCTGCCTTGTTAAGATTTTTTTTTTTTTTTTTGCTACATTTTCAGAAACAGAGCAATCTATAAATCTGTCTTTAATAAGGAAAAAAGATCCTAAGAAAAAGGAATTAGTGGAAAATTATCTTCAGGAATTTTAAAAAGAAAGGATTCCTGAAAAGAAGTGGAAAATATAATGAGATCGATTTCCTGTATGCTTCCTTAAATGTGCTACACATTTTCACAGTAACAGATATTTCTTTTCTCTTTTTCTAAACTTCTTGAATTGATGGACAAAAATCCAAGGACTTCATGATTTGGTATCAAAGCAGTATTTTTTTATTTGATATGTCAATTTCAGTAATTCCTTGAAAAATAGATAAGTGAGCTAACCCAAGAAAGTGCAGCTATAATCAAAGCTTGAACAAAATGTGGGGAAGAATTGTGAGACTATTTTATGGTCTTTAAACCTACTGTGAGGAGTATCTGAGTTAAATATAACAGTCATTAGGAATGGTTAGAAAACAGAAAATAATATACTGACAAGCAAGTGCCTCTTATTTTATGTTAAGTTATACCAATTAAATCATAATATATGATATATAGTCACCATCCCTCCCAGAGTTTTGTTATACTTATGTCAAGGTAAAATATAATTATTATACCTTAGAATCATATTAAGAGAATTCCATCATACTCTGCAGTCATCATTCTATCTAATGCAGTTTCCATTTGTCCATCTGTTTTATCGTTACATTTTTAAATTTTCAAGCACCTGGCTGGTGTGGCTTGGTGTGGCTCGGTGTGGCTCGGTGTGGCTCGGTGGATTGAGCACCAGTTTGTGAACCAAAATGTTGCAAATTCAATTCCCAGTCAGGGCACATGCCTCGGTTGTGGGCCAGAAGCGCAGTAGGGGCCTCTTGCAAGAGGCAACCACACATTGATGCTTCTCTCCCTCCCTTTCTCGTTATCTAAAAATAAATAAATAAAATCTTTTTTAAAAAGTTTCAAGCAGATATTTTGGCTAATCATCTAGTTTTTATTTATTTTTTATTCTAGAAGGATTTCTACAAGTTAAATTTTAACAAAATTAATATATACTTATAAAT